GCAGGCATGACTCAGTTGACTGCTCTGAATTAAAGAAAGAATATATTCTGAAAAATAAACTGAACGATTGACTTGTTCGCTAATGGCTCCTGAACACAATTAAACGCCACCATCCTTCACCACGAAATCCTGCCACTGACTGTATCTGACTTAGTTTAAGAACAAAGAGTCAAGCAGGCACCGTGTATGCACAGCAGACACTGGGAAACCAGTGACAACCTCCAGCAAGAGATCTGAAGGCACTCAAGGAAAACCAAGAAGATGGACAAGACCAAGTGTCCAAGCGCACAGCCCGAGCCCTAGAGGAAAGTCCTCTCTGCGACCTGACAAATCCTGGTGCCGTTCCCAAACACACGCTCTGACAACAACCTAAGAAGCTGGAAAACTCCTAATCACATGGTCCTGACGAGATGACCGGAGACCTTGAGGAGTTCTACTTGCCAAAGGCAGAACGTTCAGCCTAAGAAACTAGATGAATTTTAACTCAACCGTCATTTGACTTTTTTTTCTGTATTAATCATCTAACGTCATCTAATACGTTACTATGAAATAATAAAAAGGAGAACATTTTACTGAAGAAATTTATTTTTACTAGTGATTTACATTCATTTTTGAAAAGCTGAGAAAAGAGCTAAACAAGGAAGTCTCTTCATCTTTGAAAGTAGATGCCTGAATGTATTCCTCCCAGGGGACAAAAAAGGCGACAGTAAAAACATAACCTTTCGTGGGGGCCCCTGGGTGGCTCCGTTGGTTGAGCACCCAACTTCTGATTTCGGCTTGGCTGAGCGTCAGGCTCTGCACTCAGCAAGGAGTCTGCTCAGGGCCCCTAAAAATCCAAACCCAACTTAAATTTCAAACTCACTGCAACAGCAAGGTACAGAACACATGCAGGCTACGCTGCCATTTTTGTAACAATAGCAGGAAAACGTATGTACAGAAGTCGTTTGCATTCGCTGAAAAACGTCCCTGGAGGAATCAGGAAGGAACTACTCACAGCAGTCGCTCCTTAGTAGCTGCCTTTTGCGGGGGGAGGGGGGGGCTGCGATAACGGTGGGGGAGGAGACAACTTCCACTCTCTGTGAACCTTCTGAAGCTCACATCATGGGCTGAATTATTCAATCAAAAATACTAACTTAGGGGGCACCTGGGTGCCTCAGTGGGTTAAGCCTCTGCTTTCAGCTCAGGTCAAGATCCCAGGGTCCTGGGACTGAGCCCCTCATCGGGCTCCCTGCTCAGCGGGAAGCCTGCTTCTCCCTTTCCCACTCCCCCTGCTTGTGCTCCCTCTCTCGCTGTCTCTCTCTGTGAAAAGAATAAACAAAAATATTAAAAAGAAAGAAAGAAACCGTGCACTAAGGATCCCGCGTCTGGAAGCACACTCCAGTCCGGGGCAGCCACACACCGAGCTGACTGGGCTATTTTACAGGCTCTGGGAAAACTGGTTTTGAAGAGTTGAAACTTTTCTTTTCCATGACTTGATTCAGCAATAAATCTGCTATTTTCTCAAATTAACTCCCAAGCAGAAGCCAAGGCCACACATGCAAATAAAATCCCCTAGAAAGAAATGCTTTTAAGAAAGCAATTTTTTTAGCCTCAGCAAGCAAATCATAGAAGTTCTTGTTGATGAGATTACAACAAACAACCCATAAAAAATGTCTTCTTGCCTAGCTCTCGAATACTACTTATCTAGGAGATAATTCCTCACCAGTAACAACCAGGCAGACAACCGTGTCTACACTAGACTAAAGAGGGGGACTGACCGCTCTGCAAGTCTTTGGTCCTGCCATCAGGGCTGGCATCAGAGTACTTGGCTCCTCGTTATAAGGCTGGAATTCATGAGCTGTGTGACTGTGAGGAAGTCACATAACCTCTCTGAACCTTCCACGCCGCTTCTGAAGGACTGGGATGCTGGAACACAAGACATCTCAGACCTGTTCCAGCTTAAAATACTGGAGCAGCTACTCTGTTGTCTGTTTCCAATACCAATGACTTAATAACACTAAGCTAGCTACGGAGCCCAGAAAGGTTCTCCCTTCAATAAAAACACCTTCACTGTTTCAGACAGACACACACAGGCAGAGGCTGAGACGTGGAAACTCGGACAGAAGACAGAAGAGATCTCCCAGGCTCTATTTTCCCCACAAGCTGCCATGTGGAAGCCAGAATGTTACGTCCAGGACTATCTTCACGTGAACCATCATTTAACAACATTTTCCCTGAGGACTCGGAGTTGGGGACTTTGTCGTGTTTGGAACCACACTCATCCTCAGACCCAGCTGGTCGCCAATGACCCTCTTCCTTCCAGAAAGAGCCTCATCAGTGATCCTTCGCCGCCTCCCACCCCATCCGTCCTGTCTCCCTTCCCGCAGGAGGCGGCTGCCCAGCTGGAGCCATCCCCCGGCCCACTCACAGCAAGCCTCGAGCCAGGGTCTGGGCTCCCAGCGGAAGGTGGGCAGAGCCAGTGCAACACCCGTGCCTGCCTCGAGGGCTACTGCAGCCGCGCGGCCTGCTCCTGCACGCCGGCCCCGCCCACTCACCCTCGCGGACAAACACAAGGACGGTGGGCTCGGCGCTGGAGGCAGGGCACGGGGACGAAGTCGGTTCCTGCACGACTGAAGAGCAGGGCCATCTGCGGCAGGGCCCGTCCCCTTCAACAGGCAAGTGTGACAGAAACAAACCGGGTCTCCTCGTGCCACGGTCCTCGGGGCGCCTACGAGAGCAGCTTGGGCTCCGCCGGGCTGACGAGCTGGCCCTGGGCAGCAGGTCCTTTCCTCCGCGAGGACCAGGGCCCCTCCCAGGCAGATGCACCCACCCCACGCCAGTTCGCCCCGGATCTCGTTTCCGAGGAGCTCTGAAACTGCGCTGAGTCCGTCGTGAGACGCGGGTGATGGTGTGAAGGAGACAGCGGTACGTACCGAACGTGCCGTAGAATCCTCTGGGCCCGCAAGTGCCCACGCCGTACTTCTTCAGAGACGCCAAAGCCGCCGCCTTCGTGGGAGAAAAGTCCGGTCTCAGTGCTTTGTCTCCAGGGCTCACAACCGACGCTCCTTACGCGTGAGCCCCGCCCAGCACCCCCGCCACCAGCCATGCCCCTCGCTCCCTCAGAAGCGTGGCGATCGGACGGGACACGAGGAGCGGGCCCGTGCGAAGATGGAGGGACAGACCTTAAGACGTGGAAAAGCGGCATTAGTCTGGTCAGCCAGACACGGCTGACTCGAGGCCTTTACGCTTTCTGGCATTTCTGGGCAGAAGCCTTTCCCCCGACCGGCTCGCCGCCTCCGGGGCACAGAGCCCCTTCCGAGCCACAGCTCCGACTGAGCCGGGGGCTGGCTCACAGGGCCGCCAAGCCGCACCGCACACCGACTGCCCGTCTGCCAGGAGCGAGCGACGGCCAGTGGCCAGCAGAGGGGCCCTGCCCACGCGCTGCTCCGCGTCTTCTCTCCTGCCCGGCTCTGTGGGTCACGGGCGGGTCCGCACAGCACCCACTTACCTTGACCCGAGCGTCATCCAGCAACCCCAGGAAATTAAAGGAGGCGAAGTTGACACATTTCTTTCCGTTCACCACAATGTTGTGGCTGGGGGGGCTGGGGAGAGAGAGGACAGGGGCAGATGTGAGCAGACACTCCCATTCCAGGGCACGCGCTGTCACATCACCCTGGGGCCACCCGACACAGGGCTGATGTCACGGACCCTGGCCGCGCGCCGGTCTCCTGGCTCTCCGCTCAACCTAACCGATGAATCGTTTCAGATTTACTTATTTCTAGACAGCGTGTGAGCACACAGGCGGGAACGGGGGAGAGGCAGCGGGAGGCAGAGAATCCCCAGCGGACTCGGAGCTGAGCGCGGAGCCTAACGCAGAGCTTGACCTCATGACCCTAAAACCATGACCCGGGCCTTAATCAAGAGTCAGCCGCGTCGCCGACGGAGCCACCCAGGCGCCCTCTTCTCGTTACTTTTGGAGTGTAAAATTAGGAAGTGGTATTGATGAATCAGCCCCTAGTTTTCTTATCGGGCTAACCTGTAGTACTTAAAAAAGAACAACAAACAAGTGAGCTGTAAGTCCAACACAGATAAATGGCAAATCTTTGATTTTAGAACTCCTTGAGGAAGAAGTAGCTAAATGAAATGAAGGCCCTGGGGAAAAATGTGGAATAAGACAGAGATGAAGGAAACATAAAAACATCAAAATCAAAAGCAAGAATGGGCACAAAAGGTTTGGCTTCACAGTTAAATAGCTTGAAAATACATGTTAATCCAGAAAGCCCCAACAGCGGTCAGCGGGCTCGGTCTCCTAGTCCCACGGTCAGCGCTGGAATACTGCGAAACAAGGATCCCGCCCCAGCCCCGGGGAGGAATAAAGCAACAGGGTGGCCACTTGCCCAGGAGCCCAGGTCTCAGCTAGGCTGGGACCGGAGACGGGCTCTTGAGACGACCACTAGTGCTCTGCTAATGACACTCCCACAGGAGACCGGGAAACCCTGCTCTCGGGCCAGGTTCCAAGCACTGGTTTTCCGGGAGAGAAACAGATGATGCCGGGCAACCTGGGAAGGAAGGGCATCACCACCGGGAGCAGGCAGACCCGCACGGCCGGCGGGAGGCCTCCGGGAAGAGAATGTGGGGCGCGCCTGCATCCCGGCTCCTCCTGGTTCTGGAGTTCGGGGAAGCTCCCTTGACCCGCGAGTGTCCTTCATCCACGGAGTCGGGAGAAAACCCGCCTCTCCGGAGAACGGCTCTGAACTGGCCCCGAAGGGGTGCTCCCTAAATAGTCCTTCCTTCTTCCCTACGGCCTCCAGCGCTTCTCCTTCCAACCACCTGCTCTGACCCTGAAGCCGCCGGGTCATTCAGTGGCCTTCTCTGGGTTCCCGCTCCTGCCGGCACGGGGGCGCCGGCGCTTGGAAAGAGAAAAGACGGAGCCCTGTGGGGACGAGTCTGTAGTCAAGGCTGCTGGGAAAGTCAAGGCCGTTCTACAAAAACGAATAAGCAAAAACAAAACAAAGTGAAACAAAAACACTAACAGAGAAATCAAACCATCCAGGAAAAGTACAGCCGAAACCGCTGAGCACAGCTGAGAAGCTGTCCGGAGGCAGCATGACGTAGGAGCCGGGGACCTTGTTCCTGTCGGCACCTGAGCAGGGAAGGAGCAGCTGCGGCAGACACGGAAGGTTCCCACCGTGCTCCGCGCAGCTTGGCAGGGACGTCACACCCGGCCCTCACCACGGAACAGCCGAGGCCGGGACCCTTCAGGACCTCCCGCCGATGCAAACACAGCCAAGCTAGAAAGACAGCTCCACGAGGAAGGAAGGCATCAGAGGACAGAAGGTGGGAAAATAAAACCCTTCCCACCCAAAAGCCACAGCCTCGCCATTAGTGAGAGTCAGTAATTAGAAAGTGAACTTAGAGACACGGAGGACAGTGTTTCAACAGGAGGAGACCAGGATCACAGCAGCGCACGAACGCTGGGCTGGGCAGCAGCGTGAGAGCAATTCCCTAGAGCAACGAGAGCCTCCAGAGCCCAAGAGAACTGCGTGCACACAAGCACCCGGCGGATGCCCCACAGCTGCCAAATCACACACACTTCTTTTTCTACGGAGCAGAAGAGAGTTGGACAAACACACACAAAGAGTTGGATAATATGCTAAAAAATATTTTACCATATTAAAAACCTAGAAGATACTGTGGAAGAGGTAACAAAAGAAAACGTGGAAGGATGTGCTTGCGACGCCGTGGAGTATGGACAAGTCCTCGCACACACAGAGTGAGACCAAGATGGATGAATCGGAGCCACAATTAAGAATGTAGTTGGGGAGCCGGGGGGGCTCAGTCTGTTAGGCATCCGGCCCTTGGTCTCAGCTCAGGTCTTGGTCGCAAAGTCGTGAGTTCAGGCCCAGTGTTGGGCCCTGCGCTGTGTGTGGAGCCTACTTAAAAAGAGAGACAGGGAGAGACTCTGGTTCGGTGACGACACCACAGACAAAGCTGGCAGACGGGCAACACTCCGCACGTGACCGAACCACAGACGCCATCGCTGTTTCTGAAGGAAGGAGAACTGTGCTGATGAAACGGGGGGCGTTTTCTCGTGATCTCACCATGTCTGAGCTCACACCGAGCGAGCAGTTCCACGAGGCATCTCGCACACGCACTTCTGTCGCACTACGCTGCGCAACGAAGCAGAAAACCTAACAGAAATCCTAACCTCTCCGCCCAAGCCCTGCTGTGCGCTCTGCGCCGTGGGTCACGGACCACAGGGGCGCGCCGACAGGACTCCTCTCTGCGGCCAGGAGCCCCGTGTCGTGCAGGGCGCTCCCGCGTCACGGCCGAGCTCCCCCGACAGCTTAGTGTCTCCCAGACTTCAAGTTCTGACACCGACTCTCTCCCTGGACCGAACTCCTCCTTCCCCCGACGGAGCCGCATTTCTAAGCGCCAGCCCCAACCACCCACAGGCAGGAACCTGGCGGAGGGAGGCTCAAGCCTCAGTCCCTGCAGCCTCTGCTCACTGGCCGGGAGGACTCCGGGCCTCTCCCCGCCGGCCGCGGGTCTCCCTGCCAGCGGCGCTCACAGCTCTACCGAGGAGCCGCGGTGAGCGCGGCCAGGACCGGTTCACAGGCACAGAGGCAAGGAGGTCCCGCCGACAACAGCTCTCCGGGGCCCTGAGGTTCTCCCCAGCTCAGAGATGGGACGACGGGAAGGACGCGAACGTGTGCTGGACGCGGACGCACAGAGCACGCGCTGAGAGCGGCCGCGGAGGGACGTCTGCGAGGCACGCGGGATCCAGGCTCATCAAGACGCGCCGCAGTGCAGCGAGAGCGGGTGACGACACGAAGAGGCGTTCACAGGACGAAAACCCCGGCAGCTCCAAAGCAGATGACATGATACGCAAAGACCCAAATACTCAGAAAAATACAAAATAAAACAATGCTGCCCAGCAGGGCTGTAGGGAGCTGGGTCCCCATATCCCAATGCAGGGGAGCGGAGACCCGTGCACCACCAGGTAGGGAAGCCCCACGGAATGAGGCAGGCGTGCGTCCGGACCCACTGCAGGCCCCAGAGGCTCACGCAGCTGCTCAAGGGGCCGGTCATCGCCAGATCTTGTGTGGCGGCGGGGTGGGGGCAGCTGAGGGACCCAACACGAGCACAGCGGCTAAGGACACAACGGAGGCCGACACAGCAGGCAGGGGGAGGGAGCGAGAAGCACATCCCGCCCTCCCCATCTCGTCTGTGCCGCGTGAGATCTCTTCGTTACCCCTAACGCCAGCTAGCGTCCGTCTCACTGCTGGTTCGTCTGCCCCAAAGGAGCTGCGATCCTGATCCGTGTATGTGCCCAGCACACTCCTGCGACATGGCGGGCACCCAAAGAGATGTTCGGGACGGTGGGAGTGAGTAACTAAGCATCAGAAAGAAGTCCGGAGCACACAATTAAAAACACGTTCACAAAACGTTAACATGTATTTCCATAGGTAGTGTGACAGTTAACACTGGGAAACCGCACGGAAGCAGACCTTGGGGTGCTGGGGGGAGGCTGGGGGGGAGGCTGGAGGGGCGGCTATGGGAGAGGCGGCTGGAGGGGAGGCTGGGGAGAGGCTGGAGGGGAGGTTGGTGGGGAGCAGCACGGCTCTATGCCAGGCACGAGAAGAACTGGGGATTCCAGGCCCCTCCCAGAGGAAGCGATCTTCAACTGCAGCCCCTAACCGGGAGAGAGGGGCACAGCGTCTCCTACGAGAGACCCACCAGCCCTGCAGCTCAGCCACGGAGAAGCCCTCACCGCCCTGGACTCTCGCTTGCCCCCAACAAACCTTCACTAAACAGCCCCTGCCAACAGCCTCCTCCCTCAGATAACGGCATTCCGCTCCCTTGTTTGTTGGACTTGCCTACATTTAGCCCCAACTTGCTGGTCCCAAGTTGTCATTTTTATTCCCAAATCAACCCATTTTTACTGGTAAAAGTGACTACTTTTACGGTTAACAACACGTGCATATTAAGAATACAAAGCATCACTGCAGTAACGCAGACACAGAGGACATGAAGCCATGACTGCAGTTCGGTGGAGTGTCTCAGGGGCGGCCGAGTGGGGGCTGGGGGAGGACGAAAGGGACCAGGTGTAAAACACCGACCGGAGTGGGACGGAGGACAGGGTCAGCACCTGCGTCCGCACGGCCCCACGTGGAGACACGAAGACGGAGCCTCCACCGCGTCAGAAGACGCGCCTCGGGCAGAGCTGAGCGAGAAGCGGGACCCAAGTAAGCGCCGCCTGCGGGGAAACACGAGCCCGCGTGTGCGCGTCACACACGTGTGTACCTAAAGGCGTGTGTCACGGCAACCCGAGAAGCTGCGCAGGCCAAGTCCCTCGGACACAGCGAGGAGGAGGACAACTGCTAAGGGACGATAACCACAGCTCACTCAGTTTCAGGAACTCACTGAAGACGGGTTTGGGACTAAAAATCCAGGCTCAAGACAACCAACAGCGCGACCCACGCAGACCTGTTCGGGGGCAGCGGAGGGTCACTCACGCGTCCTCCGGGCGGCGCAGCCCCTGCTCGACTGGAAGCTGAAGGCGGCCCCCAACGTGTGACAGGGCTGCGTGACTTACCGACGCGCAGCCGGGGCGGGTGGGGCAGCTGCTCTGCGCCCCGTCCAGGCGAGCCTTACCCCGGCTCTTCGGGAGCACAGGGCACGGGGACACGGCCACGGGGCGGTCATCTTAACTGGCGCCTTCTGCGGGCCGGTGATCCTGACCAGCTAGCTACGCTGTCTTCTTCAGGGACGACCAGAACAAGCCTCTGGTCAGGGCACATGTTAACCTCCACAGGGCCCAGACCACGGAGCCCTGGCGAGGCCACGGCACGGGCACGAAACTGCAGGGCCAGAGACGGAGTCACGTTGTCAGCGTGCCTACCACACGGTGACTAGGAGGAGGGCAAGGCCGATTGTATCGGACACGTGACCCGCACCAGCAGCGGGAAAGGAAAAGAAACAAAACTCACATTTCAACATGCAGGTCAAGAATCCCAAACAGCAGCCAAACCAACCAGCAACGTATAAGAACCAATCAAACAGCCTTATTCCGGGAATTTACGAATTAGTTATGAATAGGAAGACCTACCAGTGGCCTCTGGTAAACAGAATGAACAAAACCCGTCCGCCTGCGGTTCCTTCTAGTGGGACTTAAGACGTCTCCAAGGTCTAACCATCAGATGCTACCGAGCCCAGGACGTGGGGAGGGACGACTCCTGGCAAATGGACAGGTTGTCCGTGAGAAGTCACAGACCAGAGAGCCGCACGTGAGCCGGCAGCGAGCGGCTCAGCCGCGGCTCCTGGAAAACGACCCCCCACCCTGGGGAACAGTTCCCGGTGAGCACGAGGGCAGCTGGAAATCGGGTGAGCAGCAGCCACCCGCTCCAAACCCCTCCTGCTCTGCAGAAAGACAGACGTCCCCCCTGGAAAAGCCCGAGTGTAACTATGAGTCCTGCGGACAGCTGCGGCACGGCGCCGTGCGGAAAACAGGACCCGAGTGCAAATGCACGTGATGAAACCTGGGACACTGAGCCCTCCTGGGACAAAGGAGGACACCTGCAGGATCTCGGTCAGGGAAGGATTGCAAAACCAACACGGAAGCACAAGCAACAAAAGAACAAAACAGACAACTGGACTTCGTCACAACGAGAAACACCTATGCCTCCACATACACTGCAGAGAAGCGACAAACCCACAGAATGGGGAACATCTGCATGTCGTATTTTTGATAAGGGACCGGGATCCAAGATACACCAAGTGCTTTGTAACTCCATGATGAAAAAACAAATAACCCAATTAGAAAATGGGCAAGTGACGTCAGTGGGTTATTCTCCAGAATAGACGTGTAAGCGGCCGATCAGCGCATGAAAAGGTCTCAGCGTCACTGGTCACCAGGAAATGCAAATCCCAGCCACGGAGGGTGCCACTCCCCACCCAGCAGGATGGTCCCAATGAAAGACAGTGTTGGCCAAGACAGGGAGAGATCCCAACTCCCATGTGTTGCTGGTGGGAATGGAAATGGTCCAGCCACTCTGGAAGACAGACTGGTGGCTCCTCAAAGTAAGTTCCCACAAACCTCAACGATTTCACGCTCAGGTGTACATCCAGGAGAAACAAAAACGCATGTCTGCAGAACTAACGTGCACACAGGGCCGCCAGGGTGGCTCCGTCGGTTAAGTGTCTGCCTTTGGCTCAGGTCTTGACCCCGGGATCCTGGGACGAAGCCCCTGGAGCCAGGCTTCCTGCTCAGTGTGGAGTCGCTTCTCTGCCTCCCTCTGCCCTTCCCCCACTCATGCGTGCACTCTCTTTCTCTAATAAAATCTTAAAAAAAGGTGAAATTAAATTAAAAAAGTACACAAATACTCATGGGAGTTTATGAACTCATATAATTTCTCTCCTTTCATATACTAAGGTGGAAACAACCCTAATGCCCATCAACTGATGAATGAGGCAAGTATGATACCTTCAGAGTGAAATACTGTATTATTCAGACACAAAACTGACACAAGCTACTAGGACATGGACAAACCTTGGAAATGTGATGCTACATGAAAGAAATCAGACACAAAGGGCCACATACTGCACGAATCCTTTAAAGTCCAAAACAGGCAAACACATGGAGAAAGTAGGTTAGTAGGTGTCGGGGGAAAGTAGATGGGGAACGGGGGCGTGGGGGCGAGTGAGCGTGGGTGTGCAATTTCTTTCTGGGGTGATAAAAATATTCTGGGGGTGCCTGGGTGGCTCAGTGGGTTAAATCTCTGCCTTCAGCTCAGGTCATGATCCCAGGGTCCTGGGATAGAGCCCCACATCGGGCTCTCTGCTCGGCGGGGAGCCTGCTTCCCTCTGTCTCTCTGCCTCTCTGCCTGCTTGTGATCTCTGTCTGTCACATAAATAAATAAAATCTTAAAAAAAAAATACTCTGAAATGAGACAGTGGCAATGGTTGCACAACTCTGTGAACATACTAAAACCCACTCAATTGTGGTGAATTAAAAGACTGAATTTCACGATCTGTGGATTAGATCAATACGGCCATTATTGAAAGGAAAAACCTCTCCAAGTTAAGTAAATTCACTTACTCTTGTGTTGACCCAGTACCGAATGAACAGCACTAGTGCGTTCACTGAAAAGTAGCTACATTTTTTTCTAAAGATTCTTATATATTTGACAGAGAGAGAGATCACAAGTAGGCAGAGAGGCAGGCAGAGAGAGAGAGAGGGGGAAGCAGGCCCCCTGCCAAGCAGAGAGCCCGATGTAGGGCTCGATCCCAGGACCGAGACCATGACCTGAGCCGAAGGCAGAGGCTTTAACCCACAGAGCCACCCAGGGGCCCCAAGACAAGCAGTCTTTATGAAGAAAATTACACGGCTTTACTGTAGGACAAGGAAGACCAGAGTGACACCCCGGGCACACGGGGGTTTTCCCACGAGTCCACATCAGCGCACTGCCGGTCACAACCCGACCTCATTTGTCGGTCAACGTGCTCAGTTAAACAAGCTCACACCGAGGAACCAAACTGCAAGTAGCCACGCAGTTCGGAAGGACAAGGAGGTGAAGGGCTCGCTCTAGTCCAGGCCTGTTCTTAAGCTGTGCTATTCAGGTGAAGTTCTGGCACCGGGGAGAGACAGACACGCCGGCAGAGGAGAAACAGAGCCAGAAACAGACCTGTTAGAAGGGCAGGCACTCTACAGAAAAAGGGACATTTCTACTCAGGAGGCCAACAATGGACAAGTCAATGCATGCTGGGACAGCTGACCGCCGTACCGACATGGGCACATTTGACCTCGGGGGGCAGGGAAGGACTTCTTAACCACGGCACCGCTGATGAGTAAGTCCGAGTGCAGAACGCCTTAAAGTTCATGACCACAGCAATGCAGGAGTGAAGGATGCAAAACCTCCTTTCCATCAGCGCAGGAGCAGAAGGACACACTCAGAGAAAGATGCTGCATCATCTTTTTAGACAAAATACTCAATCATCTCATGGCGTCAAGGATATGCGTTAAAAGTATAAATAGAGGGACACCTGGGTGGCTCAGTGGGTCAAGTGTCCGACTCTTGATTTCGGCTCTTGACCGCTGGGTCTTGAGTTAGAGTCCCACACCACGCCATGTGCTCAGCGTGGAACCTGTTGAGGGTTCTCTGTCTCCCTCTGTCCCTCTCTGCTCTTGGGCACGCTCTCTCTTTCCCTCTCTAAAATAAAGAAATTAATCTTTTTTGTAAAAGGTTTAAATGTAAGTGAAAGACATCCACCAACTTCATGGAAATGGTCGTCCTTTGTGGGTGGTAAGAGTAAGTGGTAGATGGGAAGGCGTTTCTTAGCTGTAACTGGAACGTTTTATTTCTTTCTTAAGGCAGATTTGAAATAAAGGTAGCAAAACGTGAATGCCTATTTATCCTGGATGGTGGGTATACGTGGGTCGGGTACTTCCTATAAACTTAAAACACTTCTTAATTTAAGAAAGAGCCCGTGGTAAAGCAAAGACAGGCCACAGAAGAACTAAACCCAAAGACAGATCAGACCTTGGAACAAGCGGGGAGAGAGGCAGCCCAAGGAAGGTCAGTGCAGAACTCCAACTGTCAGAGTCAAGTGCTGCTGGCCGTGCTGCCTCGCTAAGCAGAGGCGTGACCGCACTACCCACATCTGGCTGGAAGGTAACCCACCACCGAGCCACAATCCGAAGCCATGAAGCTGAGAAAAAGCAGGAGCACTGCTTTTCATTCCGAGTCTGTCTCCCTGTTTGAGGTCCTACAGGAGCATGTATGATTTCGGTTTTGTTTTTTTAATGGAAGAAAGGGACAAACTGCAATGCCCAAACTAGAGACCGTAGAACTGTCCGTACGTCCTTAGCAGAGTCCTACGTCGGGCACGGAAACAGTTTCTGAGCCTCCGAGATCTCTCACTGTTGTGCTTCTGCTAGACACGCACATGAACCTCTGCGGCTTTGGCGAGCACACCTACAGGGGAGCAAGTACACACCCTTCGAGAAGCAAAGCGCTTTACCCGGAAACGACGTTGTAGTTGAGCGCAGGATGGTCTCTCGAGACGGGAGGAACAAGAGGTTCCGGCTGCCACTCTTCAATCAACTCTTCCTTTTCCTACGGGAGACGGAAACAAAATACAGCAGGTGCCGGTCACCGGACAGTGACTGTTTTGCTCCCACACTCCCGTTAAAAGCAACCAGTAAGTTCCTTATCTGTCCCTGAACAGCAGCCCGCGAGGCCACGTCACGCACACTGTCCGCCTGTGACCCGGGGCCAGATGTCAGAAGCCTCTCAGGACCCCCTCGCATTCAAGAGACTGCAGACCCGTAAAACCGAAGGACACTGCATCTATGTTGCCAGAAGTCAAGCTTTAAAAACAGTTTCTTTTCTTCCACAGCTTTTAGGGTAGGATGTCCGGGATTACTAAGTCTTGCTAAGTTCAGCTTTCAGAGGACGACTCTGAAGTTACGTCTGGTCACTGTCTAAGAAATGCAGCATGTGCGGACTCCAGCTTCAGCAACAAAAACTCGAAATACCAGGGTGAGCAGCCGCTTACCAGGCTGAGCTAGAAACCAGCCACGTGACCCTTCACAAGTTCTGAAATGCCGAGGGAAGAAGCGCAGACAGGACCTCTGCCCGGATGGCCCAATCCTACTGCAACGCTATCCAGAGTTCCACGGCACGCTAATCCCACAAGGCAGTTGGAACAAAACGGTGGGGGAGGGCAGGATCTGTGGTCAAGGTGAGGGCGTCTCTCCAGACAGGTCCAGCTACCCACTGGCCTGAAGGCTACGTGAAGTCGTGGAGAAGACACGCCCTGCTCTGCTTCAGCCCGGCTGCCCAAATACACCTGCCCTAAGAACCGGAGGCTTCATGTCCTCTGGGGGGCCCTGCCTGTCCTACAGTGAACACGAACGAGCAGGACGGCGGCAGCCAGTCAGCGCAGTGTGGGACGTGACCACCGCGCTGCTGCCTCAACTCCGCCCCTGTCCACGCTGCGCCAGCGCTGCCCTGTGCACCGGAGCTGCAGACATTTTCATGGAAAAACCGTTCCCACAGTCGCGGGTCTCTCTGAGCATCCTGGCCCAACGCTGCAGGGGCTGGGGAGGGAAAGGGCCCGAGGGACGGAAACCGCGGTGCGGTCAGAGCTGCTCTTCCCTCCCGCACTGGGGTGACTTTCCTAGGTGCTCCCACTGAAGGGGAGGACGAGCTTCTTCTCCACAAGCCCCTCATCCTTCCGGTGAATGGGACGCCACGTGGGCAGTGCCGCAGTCCCCTAGACACTTCTGCTTCCTAAGGTTGCCCGGCTTGGGCTTGGGCTGGGTCCCTTACCACAGAGAAATTCAGTTTGGGGTGGGGAGGTGGGAGGACTGTTTCCTACTCTGAATTTCCTTCTCGAAGAACCCAGGGAAAACCATTTGGGTTTCAGAACCAGTGGTGTTCCTCCTGAGCCGCTCACGTCACCCTGGCCGTGGATCATCGAAATCCTGTCGCTGCCCAGGCTTCCCTCCTACCATCTGCCCTAACACTGCGGCTTCCCTAACGCAGTGCAGCCTTCTGTGGCGGGGTGCCCCTCTGGGTGGCTACTTTACCCCTGGCTTCTCCACGTTCTGCTTCCCTGATATTTCCTTTCCCTCGATTGTTTACACAACAGAAAATATTTTAACATATATAGGTGAGCCGCCACCAGTACTTTTTGGAAAGATGGACCAACTGTAATCACACAGTGAATAATGAAAGATTTAATTTCTTACCTTGACTGTAAGATCAGATCGTTCTTGTAATTTGTACGTTTTAGAGAACAGAAGTCTGATTATCCAGAGAATTAGAATGCCTTCCAAAATAAGGTGGTAAGCAGGAGCCTAAGAATGAGTCAAAAACCAAAAAAGAAATGAAATAAACACTTACAAAATCTGCACATAAATTGCGATGCACTCATATATCGCTTCCATGACCTTAAACCTATTGCTTCTTAAGATTTATTTTCAGGGCGCCTGGGTGGCTCAGTGGGTTAAAGCCTCTGCCTTCGGCTCAGGTCATGGTCCCAGGGTCCTGGAATCGAGCCCCGCATCGGGCTCTCTGCTCAGCGGGAAGCCTGCTTCCCCATCTCTCTCTGCCAGTCTCTCTGCCTACATGTGATCTCTGTCAAATAAATAAATAAAATCTTTTAAAAAAAGGAAGATTTATTTTCAAAACTCCTTTCATTTCTACTCATTCCTTTCCCCATTTCTAGTAGCAATTTCTCCTTCACACGAAAAATTTTTGATACCACAGCTTTAACACCTCCATAGGAACGAAATCTAATTCTTAAAATAAAACCGCATGTAGCAGCCCAGCACGTGGAACGGTATAAAGACCAGATCGGTCGGATACTGCACGTTTCTACTGGTGGGAAGGGACAGCAACCGGCCCGTCACAGCTCTGCGAGCCTTCTTCCGCCCCAGTGAAGCACGGATGAGTCCGGAGAGTTCTCTGACACTCAGTTTCCACAGCTCTTGGCGTTTTGCGCATCTTACTCTATTTTCCGTATCCCTGATGAGGCTCTTTAAATCCTTCTTGGAACACGGCTGAGAGAAAAAGACTTTATAAATGCCTAAAGGAATGGCAGTTTTTTCCCTACAGCAGTTCCCCAGAGGACGCAGCGTGTTCCACGTCAGCCGGCATGAAGACACCTCACGGAAACGGTCCATGCCAGGTCCTCCTTCCACTGTACGTTTCCAGGATGAAGGCTGGGCGGGCTTCTGTGTTTTGTACAACTAGACACACCAAGTGCGCATGGAAGATTCCAGACAGTGACTAAACCCCAGTCAGCTGCAGAGAGACCTACTCCAGTAAGCTGTCCGGGAAAGCCGCTTAAAAGAGGAATTTAGAACAGTAAACACAAGTTCTGTGCGAACGTCAGACGAAAAGAAAGTGAAGACGATTCACCACAGTTAAAAACAAAAACCCAGAATGTGGAGACGGGAAAATTGCAGACACACTGATCGGTTAACTCCTAAGTCCACACACAATTCTGTTTCCAACTACACACGTATGTTACATGCACACACTCGTGTTTCTGTTTTGGGTGTAGGACTCCTCCAACTCTGTGCCCAGCTGTAACAAAACTGGCGCAGCAACGGAAATCTCTCTCTGAGAAGACTTCTAAGTATACAGATTCCCCTTGAACACCATTCATTTAAGACTAAGGACGCCAGTCTGAACATTCTGTTGGTTTTCTTGGGACATGTGGGTGGCTCAGTCACTCGGGCGTCTTCCTTTGGGTCCGGGTCATGATCCCAGGGTCCCGGGATCTGGTTCTCTGTGTGTGTGTGTGGGGGGGTCCTTGCTCAGGGGGGAGCCTGCTTCTCCCTCTGATGCTCCCCCCCCCCCCCCCCCCCCCCCCCCCGCTCACACGCGCTCTCTCTGACAAGTAAATAAATAAAATCTTTAAGAAAAACACATTCTTTTGGTGCTCTCGGCACCTGTACTCCAGTAGGCATCTCGCTCTACAAAGAAATCGTCGCAAGAAAACCGGAATACTGACTGTCTAGTGCATTAATCAAGATCACAAATGCGGCTGCTTCTCCTGGAAATGCCCCATCCAAGAGGACGCCTCGCTCCTGACCCGCTGTCAGTCCTCACAACAGAAGCAGCAGCACAGAACACGAAATTGTTCATTTGTTTTAACTTTTTTACAAACGCCCACGTCAGGGGCTTTTATCTCCGTGACTGGAACGCGGACCGCAATGGCCACCGCGCGCCTCACGTCCGTTCCGTGAGCCGGATTTCGGAGGTTCCGAGAGGTCCCGCAGGGAAGGCGGCGGCGTCCCCCGCAGCAAGCAGCGGCGTCGAGGAGACCCGTGCTGCGCGGCCCCGGCCCGGGAGTTCCAGCCGCCGGTTTCCGGCGCCTCCCCCGCGCCGCCGCCGTCCCCCGCACAGCCACCGCGCGCAGGAGGCCGGTAACACGGTCCCGAGTCCCCGGCCCCTCCCCTGCTCCCGCCGCGAGGCTGGCGGGCGGCCGCCGCACCGACCCCGCGAGAACAGCGCGCGCGGGAAGCGCTCCCGGCCCGGGCGGCGGAGCTCGGCGGACGCCGGTGGGGCGAACGCTCGCTCCCAGCCCCGGTTCCGACGCACCTGCAGCCGCGGCCCTTCGGGAGGCGAGCGCGCCGCGCCCCGGAACCCGCGGGGAGGGCGCGTTCATGGGGCAGCAGCGGACACGCGGGGAGCGGCGACGACTCCGCATCCCGTCCCGCGGCCGCCGGGGCCGCTCGCGCCCACAGCAGCAAACAAACTCCGCACTCGGCTCCGTCCCCCCGTCCGCTCCGCGCCGCGGGCACCCCGCTCCCTGCGGCCGCCGGACCGAGCTCGCCCACGCAGCTTCGCCGCCCCGACCCGCCGCCCGTCCCCGCTCGGGAGCGCCGAGAGCAGTCTCGGCCCCGCGCCCGCCGCCCGTTTCCCTCCCGGCGCCGACGGCGACCCTCGGCTCCAGCGCCAGCCCGAGTCTCCCCGCGAGCCCGTCCAGCCGGGGACGCCGGAGACGCCGGGGACGCCGGGGTCGGCGCGCGGCGTAGCCGGCCTCGCCCGGGACCCGTCGGACCGGTAGGGCCCGGCGCGGTCGCGAGCCGCTCGGGCTCACCTCGTAGAGCGCCTGGACCATCTCCACCAGAACCCACTGCTCCGCGGCGGTCGCCATGGTCAGCCACCCGCGCTTCCTTCCGGAAGGCGGGTCGCAGCGACGTCACGCGGCGCGCGGCGCAGCCCGGTGACGTAAGGCCTGGGGGCGGGGCTGGCGAGCGGGGGGCACCGCCTCCCGGAGCCTGCGCGCTGGAGGAAGAGGGAGGCCTGGGCCGCAGAGTTGGTGGGAGTCGAGCTTCGGGTCTCCCCGGCGGCGGGGACAGGCGGGGCAGGTGCTGTGCGGCCGTGCGGGGGCGGGACCGGGGCCGGGCTCCCCGGAGGGCGGCTGACCGTAATGCCTGCCCTGCGCTCGCATGGCTGCTCGTCCCTTCTCCGGGACAGACGCAACCCCCGAAGGCACTTCCTGGAAGTCACAGAAATGCCCGGAAACCCGGAAGCCGCGCTGCGGCACGTGCGCGCTCTGCTCCGACGCCGGCGGGCGGGTCCTCCGGCCTGCGGCTTCCGGAGCCTCCGCGGGCGCTCGCGGCCGGCGGCCGGACGCGCCGGTGGGCGCCCCGCGGGCCTTCCTGCGCGGGCCGGACCCCGGGCCGGCCCTGCCTCGGAGCGCCGCGTCCCACGCGCGTCCCGTGCCGGTGTCCGGACGCACCACGCGCGGACCGGTCTGTGCCCCGCGGCCCCTCGGTCCGCGGCCGCGAGCCGGGCTCCGGCCCTCACTCTGACCCGGGCCGCCGCGCACCGGCCGCCGCGCACCTCGCTCCCGGGGCAGTGCGGCTGGCGGCCCCGGGGCGGAGCGGCCCTTCCCGCCGCGGGAAGCGCAGCCAGGCTCTGGCTCACCGACCCATGCTCCATCCTTCTGGAACTTTCCCCAGCTTATTGGCGATTAGAGGACGCCTCGCCGACTTCTCGTCTGGATGCTTCTGCTTGTCCGTGACGTTTAGCGACTTCTCTCGGCACGTGCCGCACTTCCAGGAATCACCTGTTTACATTCTTTGCCCATTTTTCGTTTGGTGATTTTCATCTTCTTACGGGTTTACAGGAGCGCTTTCTGCACGCCGAGTGTCTCATGGTTCCCGTCTCATCGGTGACATTTTGCCTTTGTTTTTTGGCTGTCCATGCGGTCTCTGTCGCACCTACCTTTTGGACTTCATGTCACATGTCACACTGTCCCTGACCGCCTCCGGACTCAGATCCGGTGGCGAAGCGCATCTCCGCGGGACCCGCGTGGTCCTCGGAGCCGGCATCAGCCGTGGCCGCGCACACTACCCTTTACCTGCTCCGTTCCATGTCCTGTCCGGGCTCCGCTGCGGTCCCTGAGTGGCCCCTTCCGTCCCTGCTCGGACCTTCCGCAGATCGTTGTCCAGCCACATCCTGGGCCCTCCCTCAACAGTGCGAGTCCCTTGCCATGTGAATCAGCCAAGATTCTCCCGAGTCGTGAGGCTGATTTTGTTTTTGCTCAACCCCGCCTGCTTCAACTTCCCTCTTTCTTCTCCCGTTTCACTAGAATCAGCAGGAAAGGACCCACCCGTACCTTCCACGCTTTGCTTAGAAATCTCAGCTCATTATTGGAGTTCATCACCGCAGGTTCTACTTTCCCCAGGACTGCAGGACACGGTTCAGCCAAGTTCTTTGCCGGCACAGTGCAATCATCTTCTTCCCTCCAGTCCCCAGTAACACATTCCTCATCTCCTTCCGAGCCCTCCACACACGTCTGTCACATCCATATTGAATGACATGCTGTTTGCGATGCGCTGTGCGTTCTGAGAGGACAACCTCCTCTCCAGCGCTCTTCATTTCCTTCTGAGCCCTTGCCAGGCTGCCTTTAAAGTCCATATTTTACTAATACTCTCTTCAGGAAGTCCAGGCTTTATCTCCCGCGAAGCTCAAAATTCTCCCAACTTCCACCCAATCACCTAATTCCAAAACCACTTCCACAGTGCGAGGCATTTGGTACGGCAGCACTCGGCTTCCCAGGAACAAAATCTGCAGGCTTTTCCTAGGGTGGCCACAACAAATTCTTGTACACTGGGTAGCTTAAAACAAGAGAATTTATTCTCTTGGAGTTCTTCAAGTCAGAGTTCAAAATCCAGAGGTCCGCAGGGCTGCCTTCCCTCTGAAGACTCCAGGAGAGAGACTTGCCTTGCTCCCCCTTCTAGTTCTGGTGGCTCCACGGGTCCCTTGGCTTGTGGCTCCATTGCTCCCGTCTCGGCCTCCACCTTCACAGGGTCTTCTCCTCTTTCTCTATGTGTCTCTCCTCCGTGTTTCCTATAAGGACACTTGTCATCAGATTTAGGGCCCCTGAAGATAGTCCAGGATGATCTAATCTTGGGATCCTTAATTACATGACAAGCTCCCTCTCTTCCTGATTCAACCACCCCACTAATATTGCATAATATTATAGAGTTATTGTATAATACTATATAGAATATTGTATAATATATCACATAGCCAACATTATATACCTATATATACAATATAGGATGTACATACTACAATACGAGTGCCTAATATGCAGTCTCAGATTGTGGAAGCATCAGTTTCAAAAGTCATCCATCCCGAATAATCATACCTCCAGCTGCATCACACAGCGACGAGCCACACAAGCAGGAATTAGGCTGTCCCCACGGGTTAGGGTTAGGGCTTCTCAG